CAAAAATATATTAAAAAGTATATTAAAATATCTTCAGACATATGAGATTCGACATATGTCGACACGATATATAACCCAGCGAGTATAAAAAATAACACTAGAGTCTGATCATGATACATCTTGTTTCATATTTGGATATTTACTGGTAAAAGACGTTAATGGTGACCAAACAACAAAGCTAAATGATGAATATGATGACTTTTCAGTCATAAACTTCCCTTACTTTTGCAGCATTATACCTTCATAAGCTGCATACGGGGACTCTACATTTCAGTTGATTCGATACGGAAAAGACTTCACTGCATGAACGATTTCTATAACTAGGAAAGTTATTTACAAACAACTTGATGAAACAAGAATCTCAACAGTCTTGTTTAAAGTTATGTCGCAAGTACTATAGAATTAAATGTTTGATACAATGACTTTGTCAGCAAAACATTCATCAAACCAGAAGTCTCTGTCGAGACTGTAGCTCTACTGGTTTGTACTTATCAAAAACCATTGCACTATTTTATGTATCTTTGTGTAGTTTACTTGGGTGCCAACTTATTTTGGAATCAATCTAAAACTGTAGAAAGAGTAGCGTTTTAAAGGAATTTCACAGAAAATTCTATTTTTAGTAACCATGGTAACACCGTTCATCAAAATCAAAAACCGATGCACTATTCTATGTATCTTAGTGTAGTCTACTTGTGTGCCAAGTTATATTGAAATCAGACCAAAACTGTAGAAGGAGTAGCGTTTTAAGGAATTTCACAGAAATTCCTATTTTTAGTAACCATGGCAACACGGTTCATCGAAATTAAAAACCGATGCACTATTCTATGTATCTTGTGTAGTCTACTTATGTGCCAAGTAATATTGAAATCAGACTAAAATTGTAGGAGGAGTAGCGTTTTGAAAAATTGTTTACAGACAGACGGACAGACAGACAGACAGACGGACGGACGCCGGACGCATTACTATCGCATAAGCTCTTCTGGTCTCTGACCAGTAGAGCTAAAAATCAAATGACTTTTTCATTTTCAGGCCATTATGTACAAATACCGAATTGCAAAGAATATATCCCTTACTTCCAGAAATGACAATTAAAGGTCGAGATTTTTAACCGTACGGTTTTCTCAGGTAAGGGGAGGGACTAAATTTTACATGCGTGGCACCCCGAGGCATTGACGGTCGTGCAGACCGTGGGAAGCGCTAATCACTATACACAAACAGTGTACACAGGAAGTCCATGGGTATTACCTGTACAGCTTGATGGCCTACTGTTCATCATAAAATTAGTAGAATTCGTAAATAAAAAAAATATCAATATTAAGTAATTAATTATAATTGTAAAATTTCGTAATTTCAGTCTCATATCTAATATCAAACAAACAGGAATCTCGCAGGCCGACTTGTTCTAAAAAAATACCTAAGGTATGATGTACGTCACATGTACAGCAGCAACGACTTGAGTTCGTTGTAAAAAAAAAATCATTATGGAGTACAAGTATATTTTCAAAAGTAAAATACTCATCCTTGTCTGTCCCTTTCAAAATCTTAACCAGAAGTCTCTGTCGAGACTGTAGCTCTACTGGTTTGTACTTACCAAAAACCATTGCACTATTTTATGTATCTTTGTGTAGTTTACTTGTGTGCCAACTTATTTTGAAATCAAACTAAAACTGTAGAAGGAGTAGCGTTTTAAAAGAATTTCACAGAATATTCTATTTTTAGTAACCATGGTAACACAGTTCATTGAAATCAAAAACCGATGCACTATTCTATGTATCTTAGTGTAGTCTACTTGTGTGCCAAGTTAAATTGAAATCGGACCAAAACTGTAGAATGAGTAGCGTTTTAAAGGAATTTCACAGAAAATTCTATTTTTAGTAACCATGGCAACATTGTTCATCAAAATCAAAAACCGATGCACTATTCTATGTATCTTAGTGTAGTCTACATGTGTGCCAAGTTATATTGTAATCAGACCAAAACTGTAGAAGGAGTAGCGTTTTAAAGGAATTTCACTTCTATTTTTAGTAACCATGGCAACACCGTTCATCGAAATCAAAAACCGATGCACTATTCTATGTATCTTAGTGTAGTCTACTTGTGTGCCATGTTATATTGAAATCAGACCAAAACTGTAGAAAGAGTAGCATTTTTCAGGAATTTCACAGAAAATACTATTTTTAGTCACCATGGCAACACCGTTCATAGAAATTAAAAACCGATGCACTATTCTATGTATCTTAGAGTAGTCTACTTGTGTGCCAAGTAATACTGAAATCAGACTAAAATTGTAGGAGGAGTAGCGTTTTGAAAAATTGTTTACAGACAGACGGACAGACAGACAGACAGACAGACGGACGGACGCCGGACGCATTACTATCGCATAAGCTCTTCTGGTCTCTTACCAGTAGAGCTAAAAACTATTCATAATTATTGTAAATATAGTAACATTTAGAGCTTCGATCACCGTCAAATAGTAACAGTTACATGTCGTTTGTATAAAAAGTCGCGTGGTCCTATTTTTAGCAATTGTACATTTGTATCCTATTGTGAAAAATTCGCGATAACGATGGTTTTGTAAAGTTAAAATTACATACAAGTATGTGTGTATTTTAAGTAAATTTAGATTATAATTAAACAACTTAAAACAAAATATTAAATCATTGCTAACATATGTATTTCTTTCAAAACTATTTTTAACAACTGTGGCCTTGAACGGAGGTAACAATGCAACCCACGAAGCAAGAAATGCTCGGTTCTAAAAAGGAAAAGAAAAGAAAGAAACTCTTAATTCTTTAATACTTGTTCAGGCGAAGTTGTTACTTACAATGTATCAGATTTATTTGTTTTCATCCCTAGTTATCCATTACATGCAAAAGTGTTACCAGCTTATTTTCTTCTTTATTTTCATCGTAATTTTTCGCCGCGTCTCAAAACAATAATCATTTTTAATTTTTACGAGTGAAAACATGATTTCATTCACCTATGCAATTTCCATTAGTAAAAATATACATAATCCTGATTTATTTTATTGAATTACATATACAGTGAGATGAAATTCATTTTGAATGACATGTTTGCAATACAGATAATTAATTAATATATGATCAAGCTGAAATTGTTTGCATCGAAATGGCTTTCTTATTGCGATGGTAATTTAGCGGTAAACATCAGAAGACCGAAAGTTAATTTGATGGTGGCCACGCGTGTCAAACAAGGTGAAAGAGATGTACACAGGGACTAGTAGCTAACTGTCAATCAATTTCAAGTATCCAATGATGGACTTTAATTTATTTGACTGACAGGAGGATATAGACCAGGTAAATCTGAAGGCGGTGCTTATTATCTCGGGCTTTAAGGAGCACAAGACGAATGTGACCGGTCCACAGGAAATGCTTTCACCTCGATACCACCTGATCCTACGTCTTAATATTTTAAAGGTCAGTGTGGCACTGCTCCTGATTTGTATTTGACTGGATTTTCGAGCTTGAAAACTGTCTGTTATCTTGAAATATTTAATCATCAATAAATAAGGTACCTGCTTTCTTTTTTGTAAAATTGAATGTTGGACGTTATGAAACAAGTGACAAAACGCAGAAGGTTGTGCAAGTTTTAAAAACGTTTATTAGCCACTAACTAATCAATGACTCGATGCTTCTCAAAAGTGTTTACCAAACAAACAAATGAAAAAAGAATGGAAAAGCAAAATCTTGTTGAAATCTGTGGGAGTTTGCTTTCATAATGAGATTTAGTAAAATGCCAATAAAATTCACGCAGATTTTTAACGACGAATAATAGGCCCGTGCATATTAACAGCAGTTTTAATGTCTAGTTACTTCAAAGGTTGAATGTGAATGGTCTTATGACTATTTAAGCAGGTAAAACATCTAATGCAACTTTTGGTTATTTGCATCGTCTGTTTGAGATACGTACGGCCGATACAGATCTTTATCGGTTATTTTATCGGCTATTTTAGCCCTCTTGTAGGAAGAGGGATAAATAGGCTTTGCCTGCTGCCCGAACCCATTCACTTTATGTGAATAAAATTTTGTATAGATAAAAAAAAAATACAGATCTTTAGCAATAAATTATTGTTTTATTTTCAACTATATGCAATACCTATTTTTTTTTTTTAGATTAAGAAGTTACCAAAAAGTGAACTTTAATTTAAGGAGACCGACTATAGTTTCCATTGCGCAATTTTCGCGCATCACAGTAAAATGAAGCGTATTTGTTGTTTTAATGCAACTTTTTTCTCTTAATTATTAAAATTAAACAAAATTAAGAAATTATAGGTATAAAAATGTAATTAGAATTTGATATAACTGATTATTTAACCGATTTTGCAATTGAAAGGTAGGTTGACGTCGCTGCAGTGTCTTTTTGACGTTATGGTAATCTGAAGCTCTTTAAGAAAGGGGTAATAAAAATATCATTACAGAAAAAGTAATAAACATACGCTCTTGAAATTTAAAACGTAGAAATTTTAGAATATATCCAATATTTTTATTATGTTTGCTTGTGAATCCATTGTTTACGTCATATTTTGTAGTACTCTATAAAAATGGTAAAATTTTCTAATTTTTTTGCATTTTGAGATGCCCCCTCTCTTAACAAGACGGAAGAAATTTGTGTTTCTTACATATATTGTAGCATATAGTATTACTCATAAAATATGATAGTTTGAACAAAATGTCTATTGTAGTATTTGTATAATTTGCTTTAAAGTGCTAAAAATTGGCATTTTCCTATCTAATCCTATAGTAAATGTACTTGTATTTTGATACGGTCCCTCAAAAATACCTGGATGGTAGATTTTTCCCAAATCTTTGCATGTACACTGAAGTTAATGTAAGTTAAATATGGTATAAAAATGAAGGGTTTCGCTATTGTAGTTTTCATACAATAAAACTATAGTCGGCCCCCTTGAATACAAAAACAATCGTACAAATAAAATCTTTACGCATTTTTGTTAGATAACTTACAGTATTTGTTCTAATTACCTTTTTTCTTTTGCTACATTCCTTAATGAATTCCACTGACAGATTGTTGAGAAAAAAACCCGTCTGTTCTCACACTTCCGTACTTACGACGTAAACTGTCTACTGAAAACCTTCATTGATTTCCTTATTACTATGCCATTCAGAGGGATGCAGTTCTTGAGATCTATTGGATGAAATTTTGTTATTGGTTGTTTGCCTACAAACCTTCTGAATGTTGCATTGGGACTGATGTTACTTTTGAATTCTACACCTTTTCGGAATATCGTACAAGTAATTTCTACCACACTGGGATCAACTTGTAAACAAGCAACCATTATGGGCTTTTTTATCAGCTGTGAGAATGATCACTTTCTTCCAATTATCAGTGATGTCAGACCAATGTCTGTATGTATTTTACTGCACACAAGCGAGTTTAAAATCCAGTGAAATTGGCTACATAACACAGATATGCATTGGTTGAATACTCATTATTTTGAGGCGGCATAACAAAATCCAATTTATTACTATCAGTATTTTCGACTCGAGTATGAAATGACCTTAACATATCTTTCAAGAGTTTCTCCCTCTGTATTTCAATAAAAAGGGTGTCGCTCTGTGATCGGATGGTCGAATCTTGACCGCGACGGACCTAAGTCAATAAAAATAGATAGCAATTGTTCCGCCGCAATGCGCTCGGCACTTGAGTGAAAGATGCGGTAGCTGCGGATGAACCTTTTAAGAACTGAGGTCCTGTGTCACGATAGGCGTTGGCACGAATAAGATCCCTCAGTGCTCAATGGCCGTAAGTGACGAGTTTACGTAAAGGTCAAAATTTGAAGCCCCTCACCGGTGTATGGTGACGTCTCTTCAGGAGAGAAACATTCTCGAATGGGACGTAAAACAGCACAACTTCAATCAGCCCAAACTTAAAGAAAATTTTAACACAAATGAATAGAATAGTTTTTAAATAAATATGAAACGATAGGATGACATATTATACAGCTCAACGCACTTTTTAAACTCACATGGTTTTTCGCACAAATTAAGGTCACATTGTTATGATGCATAATTGTGTAACGTAACAACAAAATATATTAATTTTTAGAAATGATTTATAACTTAATTTTGATCATATTCCACTACTTTAGATATAATTCACACATAATAATTTGCAGGATTTTAATATACTCTTCAATGATAATATTATATGAGAGTTTCCAAATGGTTTTTTCATGGTTTCTCGTCAAATGCAACGATCTTTGTATCTGTTCATGTTAAAGCATACTTTTGCCTTGCCTTAATAGAAAAACAATGCAGTTTATGTAACTTATGTGTTTTCTGTACATAATTATGACACTAAGGCGCAAGATGATATAAGTATTTCTATGTTAAAAAGATGGCATTTTTCAGGTTAACTTCCTGAAATCTAGCAACTCGAAAGATACCTTCTAAAGCAAAATTTAATTTTCAGACCATAAATGTAAAATAATTTTCTTTTCAATAAGTACAATTTATTGTGTTGAAAGATAAACAACACTTTATTATCCTACCCTTTTACATGATTTCTTTATGCAGTTTTGTCATTTTCAAACGCTGCATTTCGACAAAACCAAGGCAAGTATAGAAAATGTGCAAAATACTTAGAAAAGTACTCATCTGTAAGAAATCAATTTGAACATTTCACCAAATATAGTATCAAAAAATGTTCAATTAATTAATTTGTAAATACCTATGATAGAATCATACACATTGAACATCATACAATTTATAAACAAATTCTTTTTACGAACATTGACTTTTAAAACTTAAAATAATGATTGTAGGGAATATGCACCTTTAACATGAAATATTTGTTACGGTTCCGTAATTATTCCCGTTACTATGAGTAACATTTTCTGTGGAAATACACAGTACAAGTTAAACAAATACTCCCTGCAATATATACTGGTCCATAAAACGACAAATTAATGTTTAATTAATTGTATGTTTAATTCCAATTGACAATTGTATATTTACCAAGTGTACAATTGGGACGAGGTCGGTAATTAGTGACGCCCGAATTTCCTCGACATCTTACATTCCCAAGTCACGCTTGAACTGTTTATGATTGTTTTGTTTATGCTTAAAAAGTCCATCAGCGATAAGTATTATGAATGTTTCCCATAATAATTATCCGCGCCCTAGGGTGCGTGTTTCCTTTCGTCGGTTCGATCGGCATGACAGCATATCAACTAACAAGCATGGCGGGTATTTTCACTTTGCCGTGACGTCACGACAATCGAGCCCGATGCCAATATAAGCCAGCGCAAATCGACCGACAGTCAGAATAGGTTTAGAATAGGTTAAGTACGACTGCTATCATCGTATCGCCAGCATGGCTGGGAGCGATAGTCGTTGGGTAATTATCATTACATAATTAATTAATTAATTTTTGTGAACTGATGAATTTTGTAACATATTTTATTATTACTTTTTACTATTTATATTGAATTAACCTTTGGGAGAAAATTAGTGGGAGGTAAAATAACTCTCCCATAACTATATCTGATCATAATATAATTGTATTGCAAAGAACTCCCAATATTTTGGGAAAAGATAAATAATTTTATGCTTTTGTAAATTTATATTAATTATTCCCTAAAACATAATTCTTCCGCTTAAGAGTATTTTATTCCCATTCTGGGAGAGAAATAATATTTCTGCGGGAGTAAGAAATAGGGATAAACATTCAAAGAGATCCTGCAAATTAAATGCAACAAGCAATAATAAATTTTTATAAACTTTAATCCTGACTCATAGTTCTTTTGTCCAATATACAGAATTGGGAGACCCACAAGTTGTCTCAGGGAGAAGACCCCTGAACGACAACATTGGTGTCAGAAGTGGGATTCATAAATTTTCATTCCCATTATCTGATTGGACATAAGACAAATAATTGAACAAGTAAATTCTTTGTATCATAGAATAAATTAGTACTCCCAAAAGCAAAAATGTCAAGGGATAATAGTCATTTAGAAGATTCGGGAGAGATTGTTTTCAATCCAAGAGTCCCGGTAGAAGAAGAAAATTTATCCCATGAAGAAATCTGTCAAGATGAATCTTTGTCAAATCAATCATCAGCTCCCAGTGGTTCTGAAAATATAAATGAACTTTTGTTAAGAGCAGTTGAAGGTTTGAAAAGGGATGTTCTATGCATGAATCAAAATTTTGAAGAACAATTATCACAAATGAGACATGAGTCCCATCAATTACATGGGAGGTTGTCATCACTTGAAAATCATGGAGAAGCTATTGGTTCACATAAATATGGGAACTATTCTGAAAATCCCAGTCAATCACCATCTCTAGGGGCTGGGGAGAGATTTGAATCTTTCAGGAACCCAATATCCCCAAGGGTGAACAGAAATGACAATAGCGTACATTCTCCCAATCAAGTAAAACCAACAGTCTCAATAAAGCCACAAACATATGATGGGGTGGAAGATTTTGAAGATTACTTAGCCCAATTTCAAGTTTTAGTAGAATTGCATGGTTGGGATTATAGGACAAAATCTTTGTATCTTGCTAGTAGTCTAACTGGGAATGCAAGGGCAATTTTAGGGGAACTCAATGAAGCTCAGATTAGGGATTTTGATTCCCTTGTTAAAGTTCTCAGTATGCGTTTTGGATCAGTAGAAAGGTCAGAGATGTATCGAGCAAAGTTAAAAAATAGAATTCGGGAGGCAAGACCTAAAGATATTGGGGAAGCTGAAATTTTAGCAATTAGGTTAGAGACACATAAAATGGCAGATGCCCAAAGAGGAAAGCCAGTCCATGTTGTCACTTCAAACCCTGACTCTCAACAACATCCCAACAATAAAAGGGAAGATTTAGTTATTTCTTTACTAAAAGACATACAAGACTCTTTGTCAAGTTTGAACAATTCTGGTCAAAAGTCCCAAAATTATGGGAGATCCCGGGAAAACAGATTTTCAAACAATAGTCCCAGACAATTTAACAATTGGGAACATGACAGATATGGGTCAAGAAATGGTTATGGAAATAGATCTAATCAGGGGAATCAAAACTCCCTGAGGCCATCCCCTCATAGAAATGACTCAGGTTTTCAAAGACAGGGAAACCATCAAACGTCGAATTCATGGGGCGGAAATCGGCGCGAGTTGGGAACAAGCCCCAGAATAACCCATTAAACAATTGTACAGGGGTTGATCCGGTATCAAATAAGTCTATGAAAAGTCAAAATAGGGAGTTAGAATGCAAACCTCAAAATGAACAAAGTCCCAAAAGTATTTTAGTGGGAGATGTTAAACAAAAAGATGAGGGAATTTTTATATCAGGGAAGATAGAAAATGTTAAAACAACAATATTAGTAGATACCGGATCCAGTGTGACTATTATAAACCCCAAATTATTTGAAAAAATTCAATTGGTAGAAAAGTCAAGTGTTAGATCTTCTAGTGTGAAGTTAAGATCAGCAAATGGAGAAGACATCCCAGTTGTGGGGGAGAGTCTCCTTAAATTTAGTCTTAGGAATATTGAAATTTCCCATTCAGTTATTGTTGTAAACATTCAAAACAAATGTATTTTGGGTGTAGATTTTATGAAAAAGTTTTCATGTGAGATTTGTTTGAAGAAAATGAAATTTGTTATTCAGGGAGAAGAAATCCCTTGTTTTAGTGATGAAAATAGTGTAGTTGATTGTTGCAAGGTTCTTTTACTAGAAGATTTAGTGATTCCCCCAAACTGTGAATTTATTGCCCCTGCTAGGATAGAAAGTCCCAATTTTCAACAGGGTACAGCCATAGTGGAACCCTCAGAAAAGTTTATGGGAAACATGAATTATTGATTTCAAAAACTTTGGTAGAAGTAGATGGGGAAAATGTCCCAGTACGTTATATGAATTTAGGTGACGAAAGTTTAAAGTTACACAAGGGTAGTGTAGTAGCCTCGATAGAAAGGGTTGAAGATATTGAGAATGGGGAAGTAGTGAAAAACATAAGTGCTCATTGTAATAGGAATGACTCCCAGATGCCCAATCATTTACAACAAATTTTAGATAGGGTCCATACAAGTGTTAGCTCTGAAGAAAAACAGAGATTAGAATAACTTTTAAGGGACTTTCAAACGAGTTTCTCCCTTTCATCAGTTGACATGGGTTCAACAGATTTAGTAGAGCATAAGATAAATACGGGAAATGCACTCCCGATTAAACAACCTCCTAGACGTATTCCTCTAGCTAAAATGGCTGAGGCCAAGAAGGAAATAAATGATATGTTAGATAGGGGGTGATAGAGACATCAGACAGTCCATGGAGTTCTCCCATAGTCCTAGTTAAGAAAAAGGATGGGACAATCCGGTTCTGTATAGACTATAGAAAGTTAAATGATGTCACTATTAAGGATAGTTATCCCATACCTAGAATTGATACAACATTAGATGCCCTGTCAGGTTCAAAATGGTTTTCTACGATAGATCTTAAGAGTGGGTATTGGCAGGTGAAAATGTCACCTGAAGATAAACCCAAAACAGCTTTTTCAATCCCGGGGGGAGGACACTGGCAATTTTTAAACATGCCATTTGGTTTATGTAATGCGGGAGCAACTTTTGAAAGACTAATGGAAAGAGTTTTATCAAATCTTTCTTGGAAAATATGTCTTGTCTATTTAGATGACATAATAATATTGTCTAAAACTTTTGAAGAACATATTGAAAATTTAAGACAAGTTTTTGGGCAACTGGGGGAGGCTAATTTGAAAATGAACCCAAAGAAGTGTTTGTTGTTGCAAAAAGAAGTTCCCTTTCTGGGACACATTGTAAGTGAAAATGGGATAGCCACTGATCCCTCAAAGATTGACTCAGTCAACAATTGGCCCATTCCTAGAAATGTTAAGGAAGTTCGAAGCTTCTTAGGTCTTTGTTCATACTATAGGAAATTTATATACAAATTCTCAGATATGGCCAGACCATTACATAAACTTACAGAAGCAAATAGGAAGTTTATATGGGATAATGATTGCAATGTAGCATTTGACAAGCTAAGGCGAGCATTAACTAGTTCTCCCATTCTTTCCTATCCTAATGAAGAAGGCTTATTCATTTTAGATACTGATGCCTCTAACATAGGTTTGGGAGCGGTTCTTTCCCAAGAACAGGGGGGAGTAGAAAAAGTCATGTTATTATAGCAAGACATTCAGTGCTGCTGAACGTCGTTATTGTGTGACTAGAAGAGAGTTACTAGCTATTGTAAACTCAATAAAGCACTTTCACCACTATTTATATGGGAAGACATTCAAAGTTAGAACAGATCATGGGTCCCTAACTTGGTTGTTAAATTTCAAAAATCCAGAGGGTCAAATAGCACGTTGGTTTGAATTTTTGTCTTCATATGATTTTAAAATTGAATACCGGGCAGGTCGCACTCATAATAACGCGGACGCTTTGTCCCGCAGACCTTGTCTCATGGGAGATTTAGATTGTAAGCATTGTAGTAAAGCAGAAGACAAATTTTCATTTGACTAACACTTGCAAAATGAACCTCCCATTGAAAACCAAAGCCAAGTAAAGAGGGAAATGATTTCTGAAATTAAACAAAGTGATCTAACTGCTAGTCCCAACATAAATAGTTTTGTACCTGGAAACTGTGCTGTTACTACAAGGTCTCAGGGAAACTCTCCACCCACTGGGATAAGCCCTACAAGACAAGAAGAAACTAAAATACTTCTAGAAAATAACAAACCAGAAAATAGTATTAAGGCTTTACAAAGTAAAGACTCAGATCTGAGGGAAGTAATAAAATGGGTCAAATCTAAACAAAAACCTCTCTGGGAAGACATTTCCCATCTGAGTGAAACATGCAAATATTACTGGGCAAGATTCGATTCTCTGCATTATATAGATGATATATTATATCATAAATGGGAAAGTGTGCAACCAAAATTTCAAACTGTTCTCCCAAAATCTATCAGTGGGAAAGTATTGAAAGATATACATTGCAATATTACGGGCGGTCACTTGGGGTTCAATAAAACTCTGTCAAAGGCCCGAGACAAGTATTTCTGGCACAAGATGTCCCAAGACATAAAACATTTTTGTAAAAGTTGTGATAAATGTGCAGCTAGAAAATCTCCTAATAAATTCCCAAAGGCCCAGTTACAAAAATACCTGGTTGGTGCTCCAATGGAAAGATGGGCAGTGGATATATTAGGTCCTTTACCAATGACTCACAGGAAAAATTCTTATCTTCTAGTCGTGGGAGATTACTTCACCAAATGGGTTGATGCCATCCCTATTAGAAATAAGAAATCAGTTACTGTAGCTCAAAAATTAATAAATCATGTAGTCTCCATTTTTGGAGTCCCAATGCAAATTCATTCAGATCAAGGACAAACATTTGAATCTGATGTTTTTCAAGAAATGTGTAAAATACTGGGTATAGGCAAAACTCGTACTACTCCCTACAGACCTCAGTCTGATGGGATGATAGAAAGGGCAAATAGAACAATTGAAAATATGCTTTCAGCATTTGTTAGTAAAAATCAAAAAGATTGGGATGACCTGATACCCTTACTCATGTTGGCATATCGATCATCTTCTCATGAGGCCACGGGGGTAAGCCCTTGTGAAATGTTATTTGGGCAATCAGTCACACTCCTAGTAGATTTAGTACTCGGCAGAGTAGACCCTGAAAAATATGAATCAAAATTAAGTTCTGAATACGCCCAAAATCTATCAGAAAAGCTAAACAAAATACATGATTTTGCCCGAAATAAAATGAGCATATCTTTTGATAATATGTTACGGGATTACAGTGCAAGAATTCACCAAAATCTCTATAACCCAGGAGATGCTGTATGGGTCTTTTTCCCAAATCAAAATATGGGACTCCACAAAAAGTTATCTCTTAAATGGAAGGGACCATACATTGTTTTACAAAGAATAAATGATGTTCTGTACAGGATAGGGAAACATGCAAAGCATAAGGGGGATATTATCCACCATAATAGATTAAAACCTTATCTGGGATCAAGAAAACCCATGTGGTTCAAATCTCATGCATAAAGTCCCTCTGTAAAATAATTTATGGGATATTTGTATAATACAAATAGATAATTCCCATGCTAAAGATTTCTTACTGATGAAGCCATCCGTAGACGAATCAAGGATCATGAACCATAAGAAAAGGACAAGCCAAAGCTGACAGATAGAGCCTCCTGTGGATAGATCGTGAAAATATTCTGAAATGGACAATGCCGAGAGGTTTCTTTGTGAATTGAAGGAAGTGATATGGACATAATACCTGTGAAATATAATTTTGTGATGTTGTTTATGTTTTCATACATGGATAACTTATTTGTTTGATCATATCTTTGTTAACTGTTAAATGTTATGAATGATGTACATATGCTTATCAATTTATTGCTAATCTGTAATCATAATATGCACTTTTGATGTACGTCGTTTTGTTGCCAGCAACTTAGGGATAAATAGAAAACTTGTACCTACCTTTGAATAATCCCTGATTGAAGTATAAAACCATTCGAGGACGAATGTTCTTCACATGGGAGGGTGCCATGTTACGGTTCCGTAATTATTCCCGTTACTATGAGTAACATTTTCTGTGGAAATACACAGTACAAGTTAAACAAATACTCCCTGCAATATATACTGGTCCATAAAACGACAAATTAATGTTTAACCCTCTTACTGCCAGAGGGGTCATATATGGGCTCTACCCACTGACTGCCACAGGGGTCATATATGTCCCATCAAAACTATTTTATTTATTAAGTTTTTATCTATTGAAGATTTAAGTTCATTATTCACGTATTTATTCTTAAGCATTTTTTTGCTTCAAATTATAAAAAATTGTATATGCAATATCTTGTATCCGTGCGCATAATATTATACTGAAGTAGGCTACAACTGTAATACGTTGACGACGTCAAAGTCGCATTGATGACGTCAAAAACGTCACAATAGGTAATAGTTTATAAGTTACAAAGATAATGAATAAAACAACTATTGAACGCTCTTTCTTATATAATAACTATAGATTCACTTTGAGAACTACAATGTATATAAAAAATGTATAAATCAAAATGAATATTAGCGAGAAATATGATTATGACTTCATAAATATATCATACTATATTTCAAGAGAAGACTTGAAATTTATCTTTGTTAGCAATAAAAATAAAAGTATCATTATTTGCAAAGTATGATCAGAATACTAGAATTGTCTTTTTCCCCCAATAGAAAAACTAAAAAAATTTAAGATGTTTCCCTTTTGTGTTATTGAAGGGCTAAAAATTTGATCCCCGGGGAGGGGGGGTGATAAGAATTTGGAATGAAACACTTTGCCTTTGAAAATTTTGCATGTATGTGATTAATAATCTCTTCTCCACTAATAGGAATTACGAAAAGTTTTCTATAAGAAAAAGAAAAACTGTCCCTTAGAAATATATATTCTGTCCTGTAAGGGTATTAGAATAAACAATCTGACTCAAGAAAATCATACTACAACGCCCCCCATCCCACAAGAATTTTAATTTTCAAAGGTAAGTTTCATAAATATAATAAATAACCCGTTTCTTGACTGACTGAAATTTTGAATTGAAGTCTAGGATTGCTTAATGCTGGAGGCCAGAACAGGAAAATTAGATTATGAATATTTATCTGATTAGAAATCAATCAGAAAACATTTATGTATATTTTGTGAAAAAAAAAATCTACTCTAACTCCTTGCGTCGGATGCAAAAATGATTTTAAAAAATGGATCGAATAGTAGAAAAACCCAATCAGGAGTACTACAAGTGGATCTTATTACCCATGGACATCGATTTAAAAAAAAAAAAAAGTGTATGTTTAGATATTGTTCATCTTCAATAAATTATTGATTATCATGAAGAAAAAGAGTAAAAGATTTCGCCTCACCGACCATTGTTACTTATACTTGTAGGTAAATTTGTTTCTGTGTGACGCTTCTGATTTCTTTAGCTCCAATATAAGACAATATTACAGTCACTGTGGATTAGCTACTATTTGCAAGCGTGTACGTCAAAGCATTCACATTAACATCCCCCCTTAGAAAGGAGAAAAAAAGGAAAAAAGAGAAAAATGCTTTTTAATACATTTGTTTCAGTATATTCAAATATAAATTCAAGTTTTACATTATCCACACACTGTACACTCTGGGACACAATCAAAGACTCCTAAATGTTGTCACTCCCCCCCCCCCCCCGCATTGTAGTACCTGTTAATGCTGCTCCAGACCCCTTTGCTTGAGTCAGAAAAGCATCTACATTATCTTTGCCCAGTTATACCACTGAAATAAACATATACAACCAACCTGTTAATTTTTTTAAACACTTCATGCAAGTAAATTAAAATTTGATTATAAAGATTAAAATTTTCATTTTAAAAAATACCCTGCTTAAAATCTGCAATCAATTTTGAACAGAATGATTGGATTAGCAAAATTTGACAGTCATGTAGATTTCTAAAAGTTGGTCCATCGTAAACCACATACCTAGATCAGGTAATAAATCTATTATCATATCATGGCATAAGAAGGGACATACAGTAATTAATTTTATTTTTTTTTAATCCTTAAAAGCAATCAAAATAAGTAAAAGAACAAAAGTTTTTGTTGTTTTTTTTTTCAAATTTAAATAGGCCTATTGCTGAGCATTTCAGTGTAAAATCTATAGAAAGCAATGCAATTTTTTTTTTTGGAGGGGGGGGGGGTGCAAATATTTTCATAGGAGGACTATCAAATAGAAACTACTTTCAAGTATCAAGCTAAGAAGTTATCTACAGAGGTTATTTATGTTTTCACTGAGGGAGCTCAAGCATAAAGTGAGCATATACTTATTATGTTTTACACGGTTTAATACATATCGACAAAATTGGGGGGTGGGGGGGGGGGAGGACGGTCTCTCAAGCCTCCCCTTCCGGTTCCTACGGCCATAACAAAGATGAACTCTATATGCATCTGGAACAATTTCCCAAATAAATAGAATGTTCCGAAAATAAAAATTCATTGGCGTTTAGAACTTCTTAGTTACATTCAGGTTAATGTACATGTAATGCTAAAGTACTTTGAATTAGGTTTCATTCACAAACCAAAAGAAAACTTGTAAATGTTATTACATGATTGCATATTTATCCCCCCACAAGTATTTGTAACAACCGTGTATGTGTGTCGTTTGCTATAGTCCCCTTTCCCCGCTTTTCGGCTAAATCTGCGTCTTTTTAAATACTTTTTGTGTTGACTGTAGAGCAGAGCGGCACTTAGGGATCATTTTACCCAGCGTCTGTCTGTCCGTCTGTCACACCTTATACTAGTACTTCGAGAACTATAAGTATATGGATTTCATATTTTGCACATACATATAGCTTCTTTGAACTTGACCTTTGACCTACTTTCTGAAATGGCTGACAGTGCCGATGTACAATTTTTTTTACATGTATAAGGTAAGTCTATATGCTACTTGTATTTAACATGTAGATTGTTTGTTATAAAACTGTTTTAAAAATATATCAGCATTACAGTCCACTTGACCTTTGACCTACTTTGCGAAATAAAGTCTCTTTTGGATTCTTTAAATTACGTATTAATTAATTGATAAATAATTATTTATAACATAGGCGTCGGAACCGGGAAGGGGGGGGTGGCTTAAGTTAGCGCCCCTCCCCCTCTTTCAACATGTACATGTACGTTCTACTTTGGGTCAAAAAAGTGTTTATAAAAAATGGTACTGTAAGACGTTCGATCCTACCCCCTACCCCCCACCTCGCCGAAATAGGATTTTTTTTTTTTGCTTGTCATGGTTTTTGCAGGTCTTGAAATTTTGATGCGCCCGAATTTATTCGGGGCGTATATTGTTTTTGTCCAGTCTGTCTGTTTGTATGTTTATCTGTTTGTCTGTCTGTTGTCAACTTTAACCTTCGCCATAACTTTTGAACCGTGAGAGACATAGACTTCGTATTTGGTATGCATACTCCATTAATTAAACACTTTCAACTGACATCAAGGTCAATGACCCTTTGACCTTGACTGTAACCTAAATGCTTAATATAGCTTTTTCGAACTTTCGCCATAACTTTTTAACCATAGGAAATAGTGACTTTATATTTGGTATGCATACTCCACTAATTAAGTGCTTTCAATTAAATGACACAAAGGACAATGATCGTGTGACCTTGACTGTGACCTATTCGCTAAAAATTGTTTTTTAGAACTTTGTTAATTGCCGCCGGGCGCATAGTGTTTCACAAATGCATCTTGTTTTCTCTCTTTCACTCACCCCACCCCCCAATTTTACTATCCGTAGATCTTTTTTTTTTCCTTTTTTGCATAAACTATACATACAAGAGAAATTGAAAAGCTGACCACTCTTAGATTTACTTACATCTTTAATGAAGCTGAAAACAGGCAACACATGGCGTTCCTTGGAACACTCTAGTTTTGAAATTACTTGTCACATACATGTATGACATTTTCTTGATTTTCTGCACTTGAAATCGTAAAAAATGTGCTAATTTTGAATTCGTATTTCAGCAAAAACGAGAATCAATGTAAATAACTTAATAATGAATTTCTAGTGTTTTTCTTTAATTTTGTTTGTTTTTGGATGTTTCTTTGTTTTTAAGAATTCGATCTTAATAATTTAAAACTATATAAAGACGTAGTGTTAATAAACGTAAGAGTTACCTTAATATCTTTTGTATTCCAGATAGTATTGATTGTAAAGAAAACGTGCATATATTTTGTCTAAAAACCTCTTTTTGATAAGCGAAGGCGGGGGCTTATTTGCAGAACGTTTCCTTAGCAAAATTCAATAAAATAATGTTGAATTTATAAATAAAATACTTTTTATTAATAGTACTCATTCTCTTTTCCGAATATTTATGAGTAGTAATTTTAGACAGCGTAAAACAAAACAAGAATCAATCTGTTTATTGTTAAAAACGTTTATATTTTTCATATTCTTTTACATAAGTATCTTTGCGAAATTATGCGGATTTTTTTCTACTGTGACGTAATACTAGCAAAGGAGCTGACGTCATTAAATCAGAATTGAAATGGCCCTGTGTTCGTTATTTGTAAAATCATTACAATCAAAAATTATCTTTAGGATGTTGCTTATCATTAAAAGAATATTCAATGCATTCTAAAACTGTACATGTAAGCAAAAGTTCTGGCGTATCAACTGCACAAATTAGACACAGTTCTGGCAGTAAGAGGGTTAATTAATTGTATGTTTATTTCCATTAACAATTGTATATTTACCAAGTGTACAATTGGGACGAGGTCGGTAATTAGTGACGCCCGAATTTCCTCGACATCTTACATTCCCAAGTCACGCTTGAACTGTTTATGATTGTTTTGTTTATGCTTACAAAGTCCATCAGCGATAAGTATTATGAATGTTTCCCATAATAATTATCCGCGTCCTAGGGTGCGTGTTTCCTTTCGTCGGTTCGATCGGCATGGCAGCATATCAACTAACAAGCATGGCGGGTATTTTCACTTTGTCGTGACGTCACGACAATCGAGCCCGATGCCAATATAAGCCAGCGCAAATCGACCGACAGTCAGAAAAGGTTTAGAATAGGTTAAGTACGACTGCTATCATCGTATCGCCAGCATGGCTGGGAGCGATAGTCGTTGGGTAATTATCATTACATAATTAATTAATTAATTTTTGGGAACTGATGAATTTTGTAACATATTTTATTATTACTTTTTACTATTTCATTGAATTAACCTTTGGGAGAAAATTAGTGGGAGGTAAAATAACTCTCCCATGACTATATCTGATCATAATATAATTGTATTGCAAAGAACTCCCAATATTTTGGGAAAAGATAAATAATTTTATGCTTTTGTAAATTTATATGAATTATTCCCTAAAACATAATTCTCCCGCTTAAGAGTATTTTATTCCCATTCTGGGAGAGAAATAATATTTCTGCGGGAGTAAGAAATAGGGATAAACATTCAAAGAGATCCTGCAAATTAAATACAACAAGCAATAATAAATTTTTATAAACTTTAATCCTGACTCATAGTTCTTTTGTCCAATATACAGAATTGGGAGACCCACAAGTTGTCTCAGGGAGAAGACCCCTGAACGACAACATATTTAATGAAAGAAAAAGTGAGCTAGCTCACATACCCCACGCTCCCCAAAAAGTTGACTGTGAAACACATAATGAAAGGCACAGCTAGTGCACTTTAAATACATAGTATAGATCAAAAACGGCAATAATTGCAAAAAAATCTTCACATCAAAATGTCTTGCATATGAGGACATTTAAATGTGGAATGAAGTTTCTAGATAAATAATGGAATCAAAATTTCTTGGCATTATACAAATCCAAACATTAATTTGAAGTGGTTGGGGGGGAGGGGGGGGATGAGAAATTTTCTTGAATAATAGGCAAAACTCTTTGGGATAAAATAATGGAATATGTCCTAAATATCTGCATAGGTTGACGAAACTATGTACAACAGTTTAAGAGGAGTAGTGCTGACAAACTGTTCATCTGTATATTCAAAATATGGCCAAAAAGTCTAAGTTGGAAAGTGTGGAAATTCCCGGAAAAATAAAGGAATCGGAATTTCCTGGTAATATGCACATCTACATATTGTGTCCTAAATATCTGCAAAGTTAAACGAAATTCTGTGCAGCGGTTTATGAGGAGTTGCGCTGACAAACTGTTCATTTCTATATAAAAGGTATGGCCAAAAACCTAAGTTTTTAGTGCGGGAAGTCCCGGAAAAAATAATGGAATCGAAATTTCCTGGTAATATGCACATCTACATATTGTGTCCTAAATATCTGCAAAGTTTAACTAAATTCTGTGCAGCAGTTTATGAGGAGTTGCGCTGACAAACTGTTAATCTCTATATTCAAGGTATGGCGAAAAACCTAAGTATTTAGTGCGGAAAGTCCCGGAAAAAATAATGGAATCGGAATTTTCTGGTAATATGCACATCTACATATTGTGTCCTAAATATCTGCAAAGTTTGACGAAATTCTGTGCAGCGGTTTATGAAGAGTTGCGCTGACAAACTGTTCATCTCTATACAAGAGGCCCACGGGCCTTATAGGTCACCTGAGTATTGTGTAACAACTTTCAAACAATTAAATTTGGTTCGTGTTTAAACCGGAGGCCATGAAATTCACAATTTACAATTTTGAAAGAGGCACCATTGCTTATCATAATTATTAACTTAGCATGCTTACTCTATTTACTTAATACCCAGAGGTAGATCAGAGTAACAAAGAGAAAATGCACTTCCACTTTATAACCAGTTGTGCACCTCACCCCAAAGGAACCACACCCAGGGCCATATATTTCAAAATTTTGCAAATTTTATCATAAAATGGTTGATTAATACTAAAGAGGAGATTTCAAAGCATTAATTTATTTTCAGGCTATGTAACCACCCCCCCCCCCTATTTACAAAGACCCTGGGGGCATTAAAAACTACTTTGCTAGATCACCCAGGAGCAGAGAAGAAGATTTCTTCATCATAAATATATATATATACTTGGATCATTGGCTTAAAACCCAGAAGCAAAGAAAAATATTTACAAAGAATAAATGTATTTTTACTATATAATCAATAGAGTCCCGACTTAACACCAGAACCCCTGACCCTGGGGCCACAAAATTCACAATTTTGGTTGAGGCACTCTTGCTCATCATAACTATGTGCTTAGTTAGTTTATCTAATACCCAGGAGCAGAGAAGAAGATTTTCAAAGAGATAATGCATTTTCACTATATAATCTATAGAGCCCCACCCTAACACCAGAACCCCTGACCCTGGGGCCATAAAATTCACAATTTTGGAAGAGGCACTCTTGCTCATCATAACTATGTGCTTAGTTAGTTTATCTAATACCCAGGAGCAGAGAAGAAGATTTTCAAAGAAATAATGCATTTTCACTTTATAATCTTAAAAGCCCCGCCCTAACACCAGAACCCCTGACCCTGGGGCCATAAAATTCACAATTTTGGTAGAGGCACTCTTGCTCATCATAACTATGTGCTTATTTAGTGTATCTAATACCCAGGACCAGAGAAGAAGATTTTCAAAGAAATAATGCATTTTCACTATATTATCTATAGAGCCCCGCCCTAACACCAGAACCCCTGACCCCAGGGCCATGAAATTCACAATTTTGGAAGAGGCACTCTTGCTCATCATAACTATGTGCTTAGTTAGTGTATTTAATACCCAGGAGGCGAGAAGAAGATTTTCAAAGAAATAATGCATTTTCCATATATAATCTATAGAGCCCCGCCCTAACACCAGAGCCCCTGACCCTGGGGCCATAAAATTCACAAATCTGGAAGAGGCACTCTTGCACATCATAACTATGTGCTTAATTTGTTTATTAAGTACCCAGGAGCAGAGAAGAAGATTTTCAAAGAAATAATGCATTTTCACTATATAATCTATAGAGCCCCACCCTAACACCAGAACCCCTGACCCTGGGGCCATGAAATTCACAAATCTGGAAGAGGCACTCTTGCTCATCATAACTATGTGCTTAGTTAGTGTATTTAATACCCAGGAGCAGAGAAGAAGATTTTCAAAGAAATAATGCATTTTCACTATATAATCTATAGAGCCCCGCCCTAACACCAGAACCCCTGACCCTGGGGCCATAAAATTAACAATTTTGGATGAGGCACTCTTGCTCATCATAACTATGTGCTTAGTTAGTTTATCTAATACCCAGGAGCAGAGAAGAAGATTTTCAAAGAAATAATGCATTTTCACTATATAATCTATAGAGCCCCGCCCTAACACCAGAACCCCTGACCCTGGGGCCATGAAATTCACAAATCTGGAAGAGGCACTCTTGCTTATCATAACTATGTGCTTAGTTAGTGTATTTAATACCCAGGAGCAGAGAAGAAGATTTTCAAAGAAATAATGCATTTTCACTATATACTTATTTAGCCCCGCCCTAACACCAGAACCCCTGACCCCAGGGCCATGAATTTCACAATTTTGGTAGAGGTACCCTTGCTGATTACAATCATGCAAACAGTTTGCCTGCTTGATGTCCAGGAGTAAAGAAGAAGATTTTTAAAGATTGCATTAATTTTAGTGGTTTTGGCCCCACCCCTCAGGCCCCAGGGGGGCGGGGATCATGAAATTCACAATTTTTGTTTCCCTTTTACCCATAAATGCTTTATGCCAAATTTAGTTGAAATTGGTTCAGTGGTTGCAGAGAAGAAGCTGAAAATGTTCAAATGTTAACACACGACGCACGACACAAGACGCACGACGACGGACGAAAACAGATAGCAATAGGTCACCTGAGTGACTCAGGTGACCTAATAAAAAGTATGGCCAAATGCCTAAGTTAAAAAGTGTGGAAAGTCCCGGAAAAAATAATTGAATCGGAATTTCTTGGGAATATGCACATCTACACATTGTGTCCTAAATACCTGCAAAGTTTGACGAAATTCTGTGCAGCAGTTTATGAGGAGTTGCGCTGACAAACTGTTCATCTTTATATTCAAGGTATGGCCAAATGCCTAAGTTAAAAAGTGCGGAAATTCCCGGAAAAAATAATGGAATCGGAATTTCCTGGTAATATGCACATCTACACATTGTGTTTTAAATATCTGCAAAGTTTGACGAAATTCTGTGCAGCGGTTTGTGAGGAGTTGCGCTGACAAACTGTTCATCTCTATATTCAAGGTTTGCCAAATGCCTAAGTTAAAAAGTGCGGAAATTCCCGGAAAAAATAATGGAATAGGAATTTCCTGGTAATATGCACATCTACACAATGTGTCCTAAATACCTGCAAAGTTTGACGAAATTCTGTGCAGCGGTTTATGAGGAGTTGCGCTGACAAAAAAAAGAGGACTGACGGACTGACTGACGGACGGGTCAAAAACATTATACCTCCCGCAACTAGTTGCGTGGGGTATAATAATATGACGGTTGTTTTTCGTACTGAAACTCGATAATTTTAAGTTTTATTGCAAGAAAAATGTGACTTTAATTTGTGCGAAAAAAATATGTGAGTTTAAAAAGTGTGTTGAGCTGTATATTGGTGGTGGAAAGCTGCAAATTTTGTCCTATACTCGGCACCTTGGGCTTTTAAGCAGGAAGGGATCTTTTCGTGTCAGCACCTACTGCGACACGGGTCCTCAGTTAATAAAGTTCATCCGAAAGACCCGTCTCCAGGTCCCACTGTAGGATTCGAATCTGCGACGTAAGGATTGACTCCTTATTCCACAACTCTATAGCTCACGCTCTAACCACTGCGCCACGCGGGTCACTGAAGTGAAGTGATTTCTTGATTGAACTCGATCATTGAAAGTCAGTTGAAGTAAATTCTTGATTTTAAGCTGTATGTTAATTGCGCCACATGAGGGGTCAAGTGCCTAATATGCATTCCAATCTCGTGTAGCTTTCTTTATACATGTACCTGACGTTATTGAGCGGGAACTATTGCTTTTCGTGCATTTGAAATCTATTAAACAGAATTTTTTCAATTTTTATTTACAACTTAATTTCACATACATAAATGTGAAAACAAGGAATCACTATCTAGTTTGTTCGCCCGTTATGCCTCAATGTAAATTATCAAGATTTAAATCCAGGCTTTTCGACATCATTGACAGCTGCTTTTGTTATACCCCCCGCTTGAA